AGCTTTTACCAGTAATAAGCTTTTTCAATCTCTGGGATGTTTTTTATTTAATTTTTTTTTTAGATACAATTTATTAATGATCTTGATCTTTCGTTATCATTGGGAAAATTATAATTTGACATTTTCTGCATATTAATGTTGTAACAATTACTAATACGAGGCTTATTTTGCAAATTCCGAAATGCTGTTATAATAGGAATTAGCGAGGGTCTTCTAAAAATTTTTTCTGATCGACTTGCTCAACAACTGATTTTCGTATCGGCTGACACTCCACTGAAATCTTTCGTTACTGGTATTGTAATTAAGGGTATAAAAGACAAAGACAATATACACCTAATGCTTGTTAATGAAGCTACAATATTACAGGACTATAATTATTTTAATGTTATATATTTTTTGACCACAAAACTATCACTATTACCATTTTAACCTTAATGGTTCACGTTTAACGTAGGTTGTTATAAAACAATTAAGGTTTAGTTTTTATTTGCATATTTTAGGGATAAGCCAGTCTACTATTAGATTAAAATTATTTTTGTCATTGAAATGCGTATTAGGGTTGCCTTTTTGTCAATATGGAGTGTAATTATTCTAAGAACTAAGAACTTTTTAACAACTTACCTTACATTTTTCTTTGTACATACATTTTCAAGAACTATTTTTTAATTATTTCTCGTTAATTTGGAATCTTTCTCCATAGACTGTACAGAATGCAATTCAATACTCAGGCAAGAATAACATGAATTCCAATAAATATATATTTGTTTTAAGAACTTAAATAAGATGATATTACAAACTTAAATAAATGATTTTTTGTATAACTCAACAAATTTTCTTTCATTATAATAAATATATAAATGTGGTTTTTCAAAAACTTCGATATTGGTTTCATAACAAATGAATTTTTGAAGCGCATTAATTTCTCTCTTATTTTCAAAACATTATTAAATATACCTACCTCCAATTGTGGTAACTGGTGAAAATTTTATTTCGAATAACATGATATTTTGCATTTTATTAAATTTCCCACAAACCAATTTGATTTCAGTTCAAAATTCGTGTATCACAGATATTAAATTACGGTTCATAAATATTTTATGAATTTATCCAAAACATTTTTTAACCGAAGTTTTTCAAGAAAATTCATTCACCTGATTTTACGTTCTATTTTTAAGTTTGTTAAAAAAATCTTTTAGCTTTAAGGAAGTCGTTATGAAGAAAAATAAAGGGAAAACGTGAGTGAAGCTTACCGTCAGTAATATAAAAGGAATTTTTAGAATTTTCCACACATTTTTATAATATACCTCTTCTATGCGATTATTGCTTTTTATGTATTAAAAATACCTATATATTAAATATTAAAAATGTAGATACTGTTAAATATATTTATTAATACAAAATAAAACCGCATTATCATTTTGGACATTCACCAATAGATAAGAAATCGTTTTTATTTGCAGGTTATTCAAGTCACTGAGAGGCAATATTACTAACGTATAAAGTGAAAAATGCGTCACAAAGCTTGTTGTACATTTCTTAGTACGATCAGACACCGGTTCGTGACTACAACATTTTAATCATCACAATATTTTGATAATGACTTTTAAAGTCATATCACGAGCAACTAGGTTTGAAAATGAAGAGCTTTAGGATATTTTGTAGTTATTAGTTATCTATTGCGTGATATTTCATTATCAATTCTGAAGCAACTTTCATTTAGACTGTGCTGTATTAAAATTTTAAATGATTTCCACAATCTGATACAGAGAAATACACTAAAGGAAATTTGTTTCGTTGACTTCGTTGAGATAATTTTAATCATAAAAGCCAAAGTAGGCAATTAAGTATATTAATGGAAAAGAACTAGGTACAATGAGACAATGAAATTTTTCATATATTTATATATTCGACAGTCTAATACTTTTATTACATATAATTGTCATACAATGAATTACAGGCAACTTCTATCTTAGGAAGGGGTTGGTTAAATTTATCCAAACAGATATGTATTCTGTTTATAATAGCGATACTATTTACTATATATATTTATATAGGGAGTTTAATTAAAACCGTCAAATTATAATAAAACACCTATAACGATAATAATCATTTACAAATCCGCGCCAATTTATTATCTGACAGGTGACTTGGAAAGGTATGAGCAAGAGAATGAGGACAGAATTTATTATATCGCTGTATTTCCTTGAATAAATGTGCTACAATTTTTTGTTAGAACATAACGTAATCTAAAATTTCACACCAACTTTGTTCTTATTATAGGATTTAGTGGCTAAAATTGCATAAAAACGTATTTGTGAACTAATTTTTTTTAATATTACACATTACTTCTTTTTATTAAAGTTTAAATTAATACTCTAACAAAGGAACGAGACGGAAGAAAATTGTAAGATAGATGAACATTCTAGAGAGGTCATGTGCAACGTCACACTGCCACGACAATTAAAGAATCGATATCATATGATTATTTTTGTAATACAAAGACTTTACCTTAGTAAAGTTGAAACGAAACAATAAAGAGACGATCAAAAGTTTGTTTTTATTTATCTTCGTTGATTGTAAACAAAGCACCTTAGACATATATCAAAAACATTTTAAACGTAAGTTTCTTTTTTTTTCATTAATTAGACTAGATAAGGTGTAGTAAAAGTACTGACTGTTAGATTACTATTAGATGCTTTAATTTAAGACACAAAAACCAACATTGATGCAAGCGAGGTAGGTAGCAAATCTAGCATAAATAGACATACATCAAAATAACTCTTATAAAACTTTTAATGTAAAGGAATAACATTGAATATGTTACGATATTTCTCAAAGTTAAAATAGTATAAAATCTTTGTTTTTCTTCCTTTAGAAACTAAGCTAAAATTTACAGCTTGATAAATATAATATTAAAATGATAGGGAAACGGAAAATACAAAAGACGAAGATTAAACAAAATGAATATAAATTTGCTCTAATGAGGTACTCCAAGCGGTTTGCCAAAAAGCGAAGGTGCAGCTATTAACAAAGTTCCTTGGCGGTAACCTGTGCAATAGCATCATATTTATTTTAAAATATTGTTATATGGAGATATGGATATTTGTTATATCGAATATTTTATTAAGTTAATAATTTAATAATAATGATCGCTTTTGGATTTTTTTTTATTATAATGAAGTAATTTTTTTTGACACATTTCCATTATTTTGTTTTTATACCGACGATGGATAGCTATTATTTTAGAAATATACATTTAAGATCAGTATCATAATTTCCCTTCAGTGTCTATTGTAATCTTTGTAAAGTTTCATTTGTAAATGTTATCACGCATAAAAGTCCATTAATCACAAGAAATCTTGAAACTGTTTTGTAATGGAGACCGCGGACAAATGTCAACGGCTGAGGAATATAAGATGAAGTGCCTTCCCTATGTTGTAAAGGAGTAATTATGTAAACTAGCGTCATCGTGGATCAAATTATACAAAATGGAGTTCAGGTTATGCATAATGACGGGTGCTTGAGTGTTATAAGCTCGAATCTTACTATAAAACAGTTTTACTTTTCGCTGTCAGAGTAAGATTAAAAATATATTTTTTTTGGTGAAAGAATTTTAATTTTTATAGCATAATATTTTTTACTATAAATTAATATAGCATAATATTTTTTACTATAAATTAATATAGCATAATATTTTTTACTATAAATAATATTTTATATTTCATCTATTCAGAAACGTTTGAGAACTAGTAAATAAGAACTGTTTCATAAAAATGTAAAAATTTATAGAAATACCAAAGGAAAGCACTGACGATATCTTTTAAACTCTTTTTAAAAAGATTCTCAGTATTGAAATCGGGAGATTTGATCTGAACCTCACATCAAATAACTCACAATACATACTTTACAGAATATTTTTATTCACAAAGGCGAGACTTTAGAAAATCTTTCCTAGAAACGTTTTATTAGCATAAAAGGGTTTAAAGATTTTAGTTCAGCCAACAATTTTGTAAACATATAGTTTATAAAAATTCATACGTCATTTACAAAATAACCTAGATACAAAGGTCGCTACTAAATTATGTAGAGCACACTGTCAAGCAAAGTACTATCAAGACTGCCAATAAATAATGTAGTTGTAATTGACTGAAATTGGTTCGAACGTCATTTCAATATAAAGCTTGAGAAATGTTCTAGAAAATAAATACTATTTATGAAAGAAATGTTTTCGTAGATTAAATGAGTATAAATATGACGTCTTTGAAATTCAACTTGTATTTGATAAGCTTCTTTCATTATAACTTTCAAGACTTAAAAGATTCTTGGTAATGTAATTTGCTAAAAGGAAACAAATTTAATGAGTATCGCATTATTACATAAAGACATCGAATACTGTATGGGTGGACCTTAAAATAAAATATAAGTATGTTTGTACATTTATTAGTAGTGTAAGTGGCACTCGAGACTTGATGTGTTTTATAGTAATAGGGCTGTATTTTAATGATAAATGGTGCAGACATTATGATGAAGAAATTAGAAACATTTACTTGAAATAAAACGCTTGAAAAGTTTTCGAACGTTCGAGAGATTTATTTGAACTGAAATTTATTATATTTATGGATTTTTTTTTGTCCTATATTTCGAGAGTATGTAATTGTATGGCTTTTCTATAGATTTGGTTGCTCATTTAAATTGTAAAAATAAAATCTTTATATAAAATTACTAATATTTAGACATTCAAATAATTTGTATAATAACTCGAATTTTACTAAAAAAAAATTGTGATATTGTGAATTTGAAAAGAATTTTTACATTGATGACATACGTAAGCAAACTAACATGTACACAAATGTAAAAAAAGTATTAATTTTGTATTCACCATAAAAATGAAATGCGTTGAGATAACGAAGTAGGGTAATTGCGGTATTTTTATTTTAGTAATAAATATAAAAGTCGAGACATAGTGTTATTACAAATAGCCAATAAAAACTTGTACTTACAATTGAGCCCCATGTCGTGGTAAGTCAGTATGGCGGGCTTGGTTCGTTCCCCGCGCACGGCCACCATAATGTCACCACGATCGGTGTGCACTCGCACCTCCTGGCAAGCACCATCACTGAACCGACGCGGGAATTGTAGTTGGATGCTCTTCAACTCTATATCATCCATGCTGTCGATCGCCAGCAAGCTGTAAGGAACTTTATTTTATTATCTTTGATTAACATTTTTTTTCCTTTGTCATTACAGAAGTATACATATTTATTTGGGTCACAGCCTGCCTTATAACAGTCACGGACATTGGTTTTACAGCTGCCACCCTATTCATTTATTGTAATGACATATCAACAGGAATTGAGAGTTTTAATATCACCAGCAGACGAGATAAATGTGAGTGAAATGAAAAAACGATATCACGGTTGCTAAAAAGTAATCGAAACGACGGGTAATATTTAGAAGAATAAAATATACAAGCATAACGAAAACATTATTTCATTGAGAGTATTTAATGTGGCTTAACTGTACTCTTTCGCTTTTTAGGTTATATTACCCACATTTACCGAAAGTATATTAATGTAATAAAAATAAAACATTTTAGTTCGTCAGTAAAGTAAGAAGTACTCTCAACATAGGAACAATTCGGTCGAGGTTGAAGTCTTAATAATGAAAAGGAAAACTTGTTCCCAGCACTAAACAAAAAGAAAGTTAAACCCTTTGTATTTTCAGCTTATTTAAACTAATTGCAAACCACAAATGACAACAGCTTACGACACCGAAACTTTTCATCGATATGAAAGTAATTCCTAACATACGACGACACGCGAACTTTAAGAATGGCCTTTATATCTTACATTTGTATTGAAGCAATTATTCAAACAGGACGCCCGACTGAATAACAAATAGAATTGATGATCCTGGGCGAGGATGTTGCAAATAAAAATAAATATAGGAAAAGAAAATACCATTATCCCTGGTTTAATTTATGTAGTAAATATGTTCGATAGTTTTATACTAGTCCCATTTAATATTAAGGAGTAAGAAAACAGTTCAAATTAATGACATAAATAGTGAACAATCCTTGTTTTAGCAGCATAATGTCTCTTATTAAAATAATTATTTAAAATAAATATTAACGCACCATTTCATTTTTGTTAAAAATTCTATTGAAACTAGTTTTGACATTTTTTTATATTAAACACTCAAAGCACACTTAACACAGAAAACTGTCCTCTCTGCAGTAATGAAATATAATTGATAATATAATTAACACAAGCTTAAAAAAATATAACATAAATTTGTATAGAGTTTGCTAAATCAAAGTTTTTGGGTTACGGCTATTCGGAACCAGCAGACAGACAGTACGTGTGCCATATCCAGAGTATGATGTATCTGTTATTTATGATTTACTCTAGTTGTTTTGATAAAAATAGTAGTGAGAAGTCTTGTTAGAATCGAAAAACACATTCTTTATATCCCAGTACGTTTAAGCGAGTAGTTTTAACAAAGCGTAATAATAGAAGTAAATTATTTATCTTTGTACATTTCGTCGTATAAGTTCATTAAATTTATTTGTAATAGAAAAAAGGGTTTTTGTTATATATACGCAAACTGTCCCTAGAGTTTCTAATTCGACGATCTAGTAATATTAAAGGTGTTAAGGTACGAATGAATGTGAGGGTCTTTGTGACTTGACGTCAATACTGGACGGATGTGGTATAAATTATACATATACACAATCACATAACATAAGATACTATAGAAATGAAATATACCTATCCTAATGAAGTATAAATAATATAATGAAGGTTTTATTACAAGTATGTCGAACTAAAGATAGTATGATATGATTTATATATTAAATAATTATGATTGTACAAAACGTCCGTCCAAATCTCATTTAGACACTCGTATATTAATATTATTAAAACACCAACCCGTTTAAGGATTTGGAAAGGTTACGAGGCTTAACGTCACTTTGTGGATTATCTTTAATTTCGCATTATATGACACCTGTATGATTTAGTTATTTTATTCATTTATATCAATTTTTCAATAACGATAAGTTCACAGTTCATCGATTGATAAGAAGCAGTTCAATCTTGAATCAACTTCTAACTGGCTTCTCGACTTCGGAAGCCACCATGCTCATGAAATATTATATACTATGCATAAGATTTATATCATAGATACCAGTGTTATAAACTAATCATAAAGAACCTTTTTTTAGGTTAAATGATGTTGATGTTTAACTACTTTTGAGAGTAAATAACGTACATAATTCTGGTTGTAAATGCTGCCACTTTTTCTTTAAAAAAAATCAAAGCCTTTTTTCAACTTCCTTATTTTTTTTCTGAATAATTCTAGGACATGAGGTATTTGAAGATTGAAAGGAAGTCTGTCACATGCAAATAAAATTTCATTTGAATCAGGGTTTTGTTTTGTGTAATTAAAAAACACAGTCACATACAAACATATATAGTTTTGCTTTTATAATGTAAGTCATATGTAAAGTGCTAATAAATAACGACCTTGACAAGATCAGATTACGTCTAAGAAGTAAATTGTATTAAAAGACTCCATGTTTATAGAGCTGTCAGCCTAAAAGTAATGTCTTTCAGAGGTAGGAGGTTTGAAACACATTCCTGATCGAATTCGGATCCGCGGGCCCTTAAATCATGAGCTCATCTTATATCATACCTTTTTTATCCTTTCATCTGATACAGATTTTAGTCTATGGAATCCTATTTATAATTTTAAATATAACTTCTTAAATTAGAAATTACTGATCTTCCACATACTTTTCAGTGTATTTAGAATCTTCAATATTAATTGGACATGTTGATGGATTTCACACATCAAAATTATTCACTTGACTTGTCATCTGGTTAAAAAGCTGTTCGACGCCGATTAGTAAAATAGAAAATTAACATTAAATACGTATGTATGTATTAAAATACATGTATATGTAAACTTAAAATGTATGAGTAATCAATTGATTTAATAATCTATCAAACATTAGAAGCAGCTACTAGACTTGAAGCATGAGCCTTTCATTTCAAATTAAAAAGACAGATATTTTTTTAACAATGTAGTGATCTAGAGAATGCATATACGGATAACCTGAATCTAGATAGCTAAGTTCTTGAAGTAAAGACGTTTAAAAGGACACTTAACAAGCATCATTAAAAAGCATTATAACAAATGTGTAAATTTTAAATAAGGTCACAAGGCACGTCGCTTCTGGCATCGACCGAGTAAGCTGGCAGCGTGCCATCGGGGTCTGCAATCGTAGACCATTCGGGGACTGCATTCGTGTTACATACAACTACTAGTCTGGTCTATGTTGAGGTGTAGGGTTTAAGCAGATAAAATTGTATTCAGTTTTTCAGATAACACATACATTATTATAGATTAAGCAAGAAAAATTTTTCATAATGAAAAACACTTGCAACGCCTGTATCAGTACCGCTTCTGTAACCATTTATCATTTTAAATGAATAAAACCTAGAGGTTATTTGGCTTCGGAAAACAAATGTGTGCTACCCACATTGTTATTCTTAGAACTAAACTTTATTACTTTTAAAATTTAAGAATGTATCTATTTTCTAATTAAGTGCTCAAATTGCAATTTTCTAATAAAGATATCAGATAACAAAGATTTTCAATACGTCAGTATTTTGTGTACAGTATATAAAAATGTTGTCTTAAAATTTTGACAAAAAAATAAGTCTCAGTAAAACAACATTGTTGAAAAAGATGATGACGCTACACCTCTTCTATTTTTTTAAGTTAATATATTTGTTTTCCGTTTTGTTTTGAGAGAGCGGTTAGGAGAAATAGGAGATGAGGGCAGTACCAGAACGTTTTCTGGATTATTTTTTTTTATTAATTATTTATAACGTAATTTATATATCAATGAAAAAATCGCAGACGACGAGTAAAAACCTCGTGCATTACTACATTGCATCTTCATTAGTATAGAACTGCACACATGCATAGAGGCAAAAGATGTTTGCGAGAAATCTTTGTTTCATTATGACCCCATTTCAAATATGAAGAATCATGTTTCAAGCTTGCGCAATATGTATTGTTCAGACATATTTTTATAACTAAAAAGTGTGCAAGGTCAGATTTGTTCAAACGCTTATTATCTAATTTAAGGACTTGAAATTAAACTAAGGACTAACTATGTACATGTTGCAATTACATATTACAGGAAACAATTATCTTTAATAAATGAAATCGAAAATTTTGTCATAAATTTAATTAAAAATATAAAAAATATCTTAAAAATTACATAATGAAAAAAATGGAAAATCAATTAATTTTATCATGTAATAAATTTGGTAGTTTCAATTAAGGAATTGTGGCGCCCACAATTATATGGACGGAGCTACAATCAGTTGATTAGGAAATAAAATTAGCTATAAACTCGAGACGTCGATATCTCGTTCAAATAGGAAATTGCTTGGCGACCGGTCAAGAAGAAATAGAAGCAATTAAACGGTTATGAAGCATTTTCTGAACAATACAGCCTTACAGGCGTCCAGTATTTACTTATGTCTGCACTTCTTGCATTCTTAGTAAATACGTTAACGATTAATTATTATTATTGATGCTGACTGATTCTACTTCTTCAATAAAATTTTCTATGTTTATAAATCGACACCAGTTAATGTCTCAGTTGACCTTAGCATAGAATTGAAGTCCATAAACAAGAAAGAAACATTAAAAAGCACAACACATACATATGTACATACTACTTTATTTTATTTTTCCTGAGAGATGGTAATTTGACCTGTTCGGGTCAAGCACGGTTCCGATATAAAGTTGAATTTTGGAGAACCATTCAGAATTTATCACAGGAAATCAATAGATATAATGATCGGATTTAATAATTTATTAGAGCCTTACTTTGTCAAAATACTTGGAGCTTTTTCAGATATTTTATAAAAAAAATTTTTTAATAAAGTCCGATTTATAGAAAATTGTAAGAGATCGGCTTTGGCTTTGAAGGAGAGCTCTTGTTCTAATTACATTAAGATCTTTTGTAAACAACCAAAGTAAATTATTTTTTTCTTTTAATACACGATAAAATCATTTTTGTTACAACTTTGTTTTAGCGGTATTTGGTAAAACAAAACAAAAACCCTTAATTGATTTTAAATAAACTCGTCTCATTTAATGTCTTTAATAACTATGTCCCAAATAATTTCTCCCAGATTTATTCGTTTCAGGCAGAGCAAGGTACCTTTCAGACATTCGGCAGGTAGCTCAATTATAACGTCTTAATTTTCATGTATTTTTTACTTTTTAGATGAATAGAGTGACAACCAATCCATACGTATTAAACTTTTTTCAGTCACAGTTTATAAGTTTCAAATATTTGAACTATTCTTTGTTAAGTTGCCAAAGTTAAGACCATTCGAGAACATCTGCATACGGAGAGGGTATACATTCGCATATGTATTTATATACAGCGATGTACGAGGAATTCATGCGGAAAAGCAAATAAGAGGATATTGTACAATGGAAGAAGCATTCTATTTTATACGGAAACGGATCAGAAACGCCTTTAGATTTCTTCAAGGAATCCATACCGTATAGGCATAAAGTAGAATTCAAACTGTACTCTCAATAAGACCCATTCGATCAAGTGTACTGTAGGAAAATGAAAGCAAATAGTCGTTTAGCTTTGTCAAGATAGACATAGTCACTTGTAAATATAACAATGTATAAAACAAATGGAAAATTGTGATTTTTATACATTGTCTATATCTTAGTCTAAAATTCTATCGATTTTTAGTTACATACTGCGTTTAGACTTCATTTTATTTTTCTAACATTGTGTACATTTTTAAATGTTAATCATTAATGATAAATAGTTATATCAAGAACCTCGAAGTAAATCGTGTTTAATTGAGTTTTATGTTTTCAAAGTTCTACCAATAATTCATACAGTTTACTTTCTAAGGGTTTCGAATTTTCTTAGTTCTAAATAATTTAAAAACTAATAAATTTTCTTTTAACTCGTACTTCTGTATCGAACGAAGTAAAAATTTTATTTGCGAGTTCCCAATTACTTTTTGTAATCCAAGTTTTAATAATTTTGTTGAATTTTGTTAATTTCAAGAAAATAAAATAGCTGTTAATCTTTTTAAATTAAACATACTTTTAGTATACTATTTTAATTTATTGTCTTTAGTTTTGAAGTTTTGAACTAAAATTGATTGTAGTTAAAAAAAGAAATATTCGGAATTGGATTGATCAGGGCTGATAATATTTATTTCCAAAAAAAAGGTATTGGTTTTTATTGGAAACTAAGAGAATATTTTTTAAGCATCGTATTAAAAAATTAACTAAAGAAAAAATTATTAATCAACCTCTCGTAATGCGTTACGATATTTTTTATATGAGACAACAAATATTTTCCTAAAACTATTTCTTTAGTAAGAATAACTTTGCAGATAGCTTTAGAAGCTCTGTTCGTTTTAGAATGAATATAAATAACCAATTTTTAACTCAACTCGGTGTCTACATAGAGAGTAAGGTCGTTCACATCCATAAATATAGTTTTGCGGATGTTTAGTTCTAAAAAAAGTATTCATCAAATATTAAAAACTAATATCACAAAGGCAAAATAAAATGTTTATAATATACAGGGTGACTGGTGAATTACTATCAATATTTAACTCGGTACATGATTCTCATTCGAATTATGTATAAAAAATAGGTACTTAATTTTTGACAAAATTTCCGTATAAATAAATAAAGCGTGGACACGTTCCAAGTGTTCCATGTGTGGACGCATACGGCGGCGTGCTGATACAACACTACGCCGCCGTACGCCTTTGTGTGTGTGTGTGTTTATACCAAATCTGTAGGGTGTTCACACGATGCGTAATTAATTACACAACTTTTGGTTAACTTTACTTAGAAGTTTATTAATATTTATGTTATATTAACTTTTATTTTGTCATATATGATCGTCAAATATCACGTCCTCAAATATCGATAGTAATTCACCAGTCACCCTGTATATAGCTACATTCATGATTAAAATTAGTGTAATTCTTATTTCACAGATTACATTTTTTCGTCTACCTATGGCTTGTCGCGTTACAGACAGTCGCTGTTCGGTGGAGTATAAGGATTTATATTTTCACTTATTTGTGCATAGGCTCTACAGAATATGCCTCTTGGTTAATGTTTTAAATAAATATTGGTTTGCTTTATAAGTAAGTTTATCATCTGAATGATGATATTAATTTTAAAAATGTATCATTAGATAAGTATATCTACTATTGGTTATGCGATGTAATTTCTTTCCAAATAAACATTATTAACCAATTTCAAAACAGTAAATTAAATACTTTTATAACTTTTTCGGTTAATCCAAAAAAAAAAAAAATATTATTACATATAGGCATACATGCTACAAACTTTTTTCATGTTTTACTAGGAAATGAAACTTTTTTATTTGACAGATGAAAGACGTTTGTCAGGACCCTTGCTTGGGGGAATCTATATATAGTCGAAGGTGCAAAGCATAACACAAGTTTATATATGTATGTCTTTTAAATTTTTTGATATGTATAAAAACGTTTTAATTTATTATTGGTATACCGGAACTTAACATATGTATTTCCAAATTATTACTGAAAACAAAGAAGTAGGGACTTTCAATTGCTAAACAAACCAATTCATTTCCTGTTACATATTATATTTTATACAACCCGTATCCTCGATTTTATCTCCGTGGAATAGTTATTTTTATTGGGAATAGAAATAAATTTATAGGTTTTCTAAGATAAAAGCAACGTAAGTTTCTCCTTATTAAATTATCCATTTGTCCGTGAAGGGGTCGTTAAAAGCAGTCCAGTTATTTTAGAGATTAACCGAAACAAACAGACAACTAAAAAATCTAAAAAAAATATTCAGTAAGAGTATTGTATAGAGTTACATCCGCGTAAATTTAATCAAAAGCGGTTATTTTAATAACGCACAGAAACAAAAAAAAAACTCTTTTATTGTATATATAAATGTCAAATTCAAAGAGAACCGAGAGAGATAAAAATTTTAATTAATATCAGACGGATTTGTTTGATTGGAATTTTAAAGCTCCGAGATATAATCCAAATATGAATATTTACGGGTACATTTTAAAATACACCGATTTATTAAGAGAACCTAGATTAGTGTAATCTTAATTTTGACGCATTGAGTGCTATTTACTTTTGAAAGAAATAAAATTTGTTATTTGAAATCGTAGTAATACGCTCGATTGATTCTAATTTGAGAAATACGTGTTGTGAATGAATGCTGCAATATGATGCTTATTACCCGCCGGCGCAACTTTCAGTTGTATGAGAGTTTATAATTAACAATTCATTTTGACTTGTGTATGGTTAACAGTGAATGATCATTGCAATAGCAAACCAAATTTGCCAAATAAACGTCATTATAGCTCACAATATATTGTCTTCTCAAGAAGCTGTATAATTAGTATTTTATTTAATGGTACTAATTGCTAAGACTTTTCGACAAAATATGTAGAATAAGTTGAAAATCAAATATGTATGACAAATTTTATTCATAATTGTGACTTCGTATACTTTAAAGTTACAATATTTTTATACTACATACTACCAATATTTTAGGGATGTCAAACGTAAGATATTTATAGGAAATTAATTGTAATAAGGAGTTTAATTTATTTCATTACTAGAATTTAATTTTCCATAATTACTTCAATTGGAAAAGCAAGAAAACGCTCCGACAGAGTAGTAATATTAAGTATACACGTGTAGTGTTTCATAAAAAGTAGCGTTGTTAAAAAAATCTTTTCGTGAACAACAGCGCTTTGCGACTCTTCTATTACTTGAGTGGATATAAATTGTAAGCAAAGGTTATATAAGTTTTTACTTTGTTGTATTGTAAATGGAATGGAAAACAATGTTGGCTACTTTTACATAACTAAGGATAGGTAAGTAACCTTTTATCTTGCGTAGTGCAGGAACAAATTTATTTGTTATGTCTAGTTATGTTAGATCTTCAAATATAGTGTTCTATTGGACTCGCATTTTGATCAATATTATGTTGATAGGGTAATCATAAGATGAAGGTGCAAGCACACTAAAAAAAATGGCAAAAAGAAAAAAGAAATGGCAAAAAGAAAAAAGAAGTGGAAAAGACAAAACTATTTATAATGCAGTATGTAATATTTCGACATTTTAACTATTTTCAGAAGATTTGTACTGTTCCAAATTTAAAACAAAATCTCTTTATAAATATTTTTATTTTATAATGTACAATATAGTTAGGTTGTATTTATTCTGCTACAGAATAATTTTTAATAATTTTTTGATGATAAAAATAATAATAAATAAAACAAAATTTTAATGGGGTTTTAGTGGAAGCATACTTATTTTTTTAGTACAATAAAAATAAAACAAACAATAACAAAATGATGAAAACCCATGTCTTTACAGATGAATACTTAAAAATACATTTTTATATAAAAAGGATGGTATTGCTTTACACAAAGGTATTTCAATTGTCTTTTTATTCCGCAGGATAATTAATTGATCCTTCTATCATCACAAAAATTGGTAAAAAAAAATACTTTAATAACTAAATACATACTTTGAAGCTTGACTTTTATTATGGTTGAAGACTATATGGGCATAAACAAATAAATATTTATATACATGGAACATTAAATATATCAATAAATTAGCATTTAAATTATATTATAATACTTTTATAAATTCTGACAAAATAAATTTAATTATTGTAAAAAAGCTTGTCATACCTCAACAGAGCGGTATCCTCAGAGCTGGCAGGCATCTTTATTAGCACGTTCCTCGGCTCCGTGATCCTGCCCCTCTTTCTGAAATGGTGTAATTACTTAAACAAATAAGTATGGCAAAACATGGAAATATTAGAAAATAAAAGAAAACATCATTACTCACAATGATAACATCTCGAGATATATACAGGTTGAAAAAAGGTTCTGTTTATCTTTTTTCTTTTAAATAACTTGCTATTAACAAACTTTATTTTTTTTTATATCTAAATTCTTGCTCTAAGAATATGAAAGAACCACTTTTCAGCCAGTACTGTTACATGCATAGCATTAAAAAGTTAATATAGGGCACACATTTAAAGAATTAAATAGTAAACAAGATGTCATAAAGTTTAAAAATCCCTCCACAGTTAGTTACGTGAACAATATATTCGCGGTGCGAGTTAAATGAGGATATATAAATAAAAACTTTTTTAACAGTTTCTTATAAAACTTACCCTAACTTCGCAACTATTTGGCAATTAATTTTTTTTATTTTTATGTAACTTCAAGTTAAATCTGAACAATCGTGCGGAGCACTCTGCTCGCCACTAGGTGATGACTCGAGTACTGTCTGACAACGTTCTGTCAAAGGAACACGCTTCTCAACCAAGTTGCAGCTCACTTCTCGACGTACTAAAGACGCATGCGCGTAGAAACACGTCAATTGTCCAATTTAAACACGGGAAGTTTTAAAGTTTAAACTTTCGAGTCAATTAAACCATTTGAAACAAACAGTTTTAATAGGTGGAAACACAAATGTTTAGCTTGTTTCAGAATAGAGATTTCATATTCTTCTTTCTTTCTAATAGAATAGTATAGCACTTGGTTCATTAAGTTCGTTCTCATTATATACTTAATGTAGTATAATTAAGTATACAAAACAAAACATAATCATTGCGATAACACTTATCAGTTCATAACAACAAATCGGGATAAATGTCAAAAAGAATTGTTACTACTTCTAATAATGTTGCGTTTTCCATATTGCCATTAATAAAGTTAAAAAAAATAAAGTAAATTTTTTCTTTACTAATTTAAGGAATAAAGTTAATGAATGAATTACAATAAACTTTATTTGAAAAATAAAATAAACTGCCTTAAAAAATTATTTGTAAATATTTGTTTAATTTATTACTAGATATGAAACTTGGTAATCATAGGTGTGTGATATATATCTTTTAAATAATGTGATGTGATGCTACCTTATATCCCTTTTATTTTAAATACCTAGATTACGTTTAAAAACTTAACTTAGACTATATTTTAAGACTAACAAGCAAATTTTCATTTTGTGGCGCCATCTTGTATCGTTAAGTGACTTTGTTTAACTGTGCGTTCCGTGTTACTATATACACAGTACACAGTGGTTGCTTGGGTCGCCATAATGATAATAGATGTCGTGATTTTAAATCATTGCTAAAAACTTGTTTTACTGAACCAGTAATGCCTCGAGGAAGTATAACTTGCAATAGCTTATAATTGTCAAATAATAAGATTATATTAAATATTCTATATTCGTTCAGTGTCCTTACCAGTCAATTACCTATCAAAAGAAAATTGGGAAATCATAAAATACCCTTAAATAAAAAAAAATCATTCGTTTTTATCATATATTTTTTTAAATGTATTATATTGTCGTATTTTTTTGGCAAAGGACTGGATTTATCTGACTAAAACTACTATAACCTTTTTACTATAAAAGCTTATTCTTATTTAAAACAAGTATTTAAAACTACTCAATACAGACAAGTTTTTAGGGATACTAGTAGAAATTTATTTCATGTACTGATCAGAATTAATAATTATAAGAAAATATTACGTAAAGAGTCTTGTTAACAAGCTACAATCAATATTTACCACTATATCGGAGAAGCGCGGCTGGTCAAATCTTTGTATACCAAATATCTATTCCTAGTTGCAAACTTATAAAGCTTCTACTTACTATTACTATTAAGTATATATTATAATAGCCATAGGTCATATGTATTGAAGGAGTGATGGTTGATTGTATAACAGAAGAAAATTGTTATAACTTTTATTTTTATTAATATTCAGAAATAACAAATGTAATTTTATCTTTCTATACAATATTACACAACTCCGTCCTTACATTTATGAAAACTCAAGAAAGCGTAAGGTTTATGCATATATTTAGGACAGCTATACCAGCCAAGATTTTATTTTATAATGGATATATTTGAAAAATTAAAATTAATCTCTCGTCTGCCCGTGACCACGGTGTACAAACGTCGGGAATACGTAGTTTTTATCAAAAATAAAGTCGCGTAGTAGGTATATCCGCAAAATATTAGTTTCATTTAAATGACTTGCGAAAATCTCAGATCTCATAATATTAAAATTAATCTATTCTATTTATGACTGGGAGCTGTCTATGATAAAAATATAAATCTGCTCAATAAATTCTTCTTAAAAATGTTATAGTAACTCGCTTTTGTTTTCTAAGTTATAGGACGATATTTTCCTAGGGTTTGTTTAATGTGTCTTTGTGATTATTAAAACAGAAATAAAACAATATAGCTTAAAAAAGAGTAACCCTTTACTACTAAGTACTATATACCACCATCAACTAATTACCATAATATACGATTGAACTATTTTAAAAGTGATAATACTTATATATTTTATGTTAATTTTTATCATAATTCAAATATCAAGCTATGTACAAGTCATTTTAATAAACATAGTTTTAGTTGTATCTAACATAAACTGTTTTACCAAAATAAAAATATCTTAAGTGCACTACTAGCTCAAGATAATAAATTCACTTTGTTGCATAGAAAACCTCTAGTCTCTACACAAAGCTCATCATAAGATATGACAATATACATACAACGGAACTTTATATTAATATGCAAAATAAAATAGGAATACAGTACATAGAGAATTTAAGTTAATAAACGATTTTTATCTCCGTCTTTGCTTCTGTCATTGTGTGTTTATCTCACAATCTGATATTCTTTTAATATTATATGCATAGAATTGATAACCTTTACAACAATAAAAAGTTGAATTTCTAAGTCGACGTAATGTTACAAATAGGACTAATTATGTTTCGATTATTAAAATTTTAACGGGACTTACTGTTTAAAAATAGCAATGTCATATAGCACAAGTAAAGGAAGATTTATATATTATGTCTATCCAGTTTGTAAACCAACGTCCTGTGACTTTGTCTGGTATGGAGATAACAGTTTTCAACCGATAACTACATAATCTATACTAATATTATAAAGCTGAAGAGCTTGTTTGTTTGTTTGTTTGTTTGAAAGCGCTAATCTCCGAAATTATTGGTTCGAATTGAATAATATTTTTTGTGTTGGATAGTCCAGTTATCGAGGAAGGCTGTAGGCTATATAACATCACGCTACGACCAATAGGAGCAAAGATATAGTGGTAAATGTGTAAAAAACGGGAGAAATTATTTCATCTTTGAAGCCTTCCGTTGCGTGCGCCGTGAAAACGGTTCAAGATACACAAAAAATATGTGTTAAAGAATAATAGCTCTTTTAATGATCTAAAAAACAGTCCGCAACAGTATATGTCTATCTTTTAAAATTAACTCACAAAAACCGTTTTTATGGTACCTAATTTGGTCGAAATAATTTGTTTAAGTTGTATCAACATAATAATATTAATCTTTATTCAAATAAACAAATAAATATGTTGTTGGTTAAGAGTACTTCATTGTGAATAAAATTGTCTTTGACATAACATAATTTCAACAAAAAACTTTAAAGATTACAATGATAAATAACTCCGAAACAAAACCAACTCGCTCTCTGCGCTGGCCGGCGCGGCGGGAGAGAGGTGGTGCTTGCGGGCAAGCCGGTGGAATGCAGTGCTAATTTGTTTACGCGATATAATTATCATCGTAATATAACTTTAGTACTTTATTGTGAATTAAAAAAAACATAGGTTTTATCCTGAAAACTCTACGGGAACTCGACCATTCCGAAAACCCCGCAAGAACGGGAACTATGTGGGAAGAACCAAAAATCTACTGGAAGTCACTATTCCACGTGGACGAAGTCGCGGCAAAAGCTAGTATGTTAATAAAGAACATTAATTTTACATGACTGGAGTAAATGGTAGTTTCTTGATTAAGAATATAATTTAACCAACATTATTCGGTACGAAATCGTCTAGTAGAAAGCCGGCATTTGGAAGTTATAACCCGTGACAATATAACATGATTTTAATGATCCATTTACATATACTAAAAATCTCCCCTTCTTTTATTTATCCTCATGTACTTATATACTATTTTAAATATGTTTAACTGGTTTTATACATTCCGCAAAAAATATTTTATGTATATAAAAAAGTATGTTTCAATAAAGTATTTATCAAATAAAAAACAAACACAAAATTGTACGTTTGTCGTCGATTGTTCTCTCCATGCCCTTGATACGAATGGCCACTTGGTGCTTCAAAAATATATTCGTGATAGCAACAGTTACGTATTGAAATACATTCGAATTCATTTTTAAATGACCCTCATTGAAATTTAATTAAAAATATTTTATATTTGTAAGTTAATCGGAAAATAACATTATTGCGTAGTTATGTACATGTGCTATTTTAAATAAACGATAAAAATCTATAATCTTAATAAAAATAATAATTTATTGGTTGGTACGAATTCAAATAAAAGCAATTAAAGCTCTATATGAAGTGATAACTTATTGATACCGTTCTGATTGTTATTGACAATTGCGTCGAAAATCTTTTATACATATTTTTAATACACGAGATAACACATAAGTATACCTAAAGTGCAACATATTGCACTTGTTTATTTATTGTGACGCAGTAATCGCTATGTTTATACTTTAGAGACGGCTTGTTAAGCGAGCTCTGAGAGGTTTAAATGTTCATTATATGAGATACAGCGCTTAAATTTCTGTGGGACGAGCATTATAAAAATTATGCACTTGTGAATTATATGTAGGGTTATAATATATTATGATTCATGACAATAAGAATATTCGGTTTTTGTTATTGTTTTAATTAATATAGTTGTCACGGAATAAACAGAGGCAATTAATTTTATATCAAATATGTCAGACGCTCTTTAGCATTGAGTTGGTTAGGTATGGAAAGATTCAATAATGCGTTATATTTTTTCCTTGTACACAAGCTTTACCTATAACAAATGATAAATACAATTGCATTCAAACTTACAAGAATCCCAATAAAACAGACTATTTCGTCAGTTATTACCACGTCATCACCCTACAAAGTCCGTATGCAGAATAGGAATATCTAGAAAGAACGTAATAATTGTCCCATAATTTATAAAATTTATTATATTTGATACAATAGACGCTACTCAAATATCAATTCCAATAAAATTATAAGTTGATCTTGAATGCATAAAAAATAAAGACGCTTACTACATGGTATAATTTAAATGTCTCCTGTTATTAGGTACTTACGTTTCAAGGCAAATAACTGACGGCATTGGCTCTGCGGTAGGGAGACCCTGTTTTCCGGACAGAGTCGATTCCAGCACCAATTCATCACTGACAAAGGCATAGTTATCCATTATGATACGAGTTCCACCAGCCGTGGACCGAAGATAACTGATGCTGGTCTATTGATGATCGAGCCGGTACTAAAATCATTGTCAATTATTCAGCATTTCGCAGTCGAGTGGAAAAATTACCGCATCAAATCTATTTACTAAGTCGCTTGTTGTAGCGGCGACTAATCGAATGTTTGATTATATATTCACAACACCTTTTCGACATTTATCGTGATGAATATATGCTTGATTTATTTCGTTATTGTTTTGAATATCTATTACTCTCTTCTCGACGATTGTATAAAAATCTTAGTGGTGCGAAAATAATTATGGTATCAAAAACTTGAAGGTTATCTAACAAATAAAATGCACCCTGTTTATGAATGAAAGAAAGAAAACATTGCAATCATAGTACATCCATTTTCTTGAAAGAGAGAAAGAGCAAGGTCAAATTTACTTTCCTAGTATCTTTTTTATTTAATACAAATATTTACACAGTGGATTCTATTAGAATATACCTAATACTTTTTTTATATTTGTCAATCTCTGCATATGTCACAATGACACTCTTTTGTGTGTAGTAAATGGAGCAAGGACTTGATTAACTATCATATAATAACGTCAATCAGGACACATTGTCCACCTGGCCGTATCAGGAGCTCGATGTCAGAAGATATCACTACAAGATGCTTATTGTGTTTGATACTAATAATAATTACAGCTAGTGCCTTTGTTACATTATATTCTATGAAATTTTGGAATAGAATATACAGATAAAGTTGTTTATATGATAAATTATTATAATTATTAATTCTTATGCATAAGCATTTGTAATATATGTATCGCATGGAATGAGTTCCGCGAAACATTCGTCATTCAAATGAATAGTTAAAAGGTAAACTACGTATATTAATCAGATTTGTTTCTTGAGTTAAATGATATTTAAGAGGAATTTTTTTTTAATGTTTAAATATGTTACATATTTAAACATTATAAAAAGGGACAAACAACGATAGCTTCCAATAAAGAAATGTAGTGAAAATATATAAAATCATTTTTTTTTGAAAATTGAAATTGAAAATATATAAAAAAAAATTACACGTCTTTAAAAGAACATCGTGTACTAAAACTCAATGTAAATAATTGTGTAGCCGCTTAAAATAGAACATCAATTAATATAAAAAAATAAATGAGACCAAATGGTTTTTGATTTATACCAAGCAGGAAAAATGTATTTTACTTGGGGTTATGAGTATATTTGTAAAATAATCGTAAAATTCAAGGTAGTCCATATCAATATCTCAATTCTCAACCTTCTTATTTTATAGAACGGTATTTGAATTTAATCTAAGAAGGACTGTAATATTGTGTTTATATATTTCAAAAAAGGGGTCGTTAAACGTATACACTATTTTTTTTTGGTGAAAATATAATACGATTTGGTTTTCAATATATTTTTATTATTACATTATTATGGCTTCAACACTATTTTCCATGTTTCTGGTAGTAGCATAATTCCAGACACATAAAGTTTTTGGTTTTTTGTGGTAAAAACTGGTCCAGGTGATTTTAGACGACTTCATTTCAAGTAATGATTTTACCACTAAAAAAAATTTCGCATTGACAGGAACAAATAAAAATCCGAAGGCGCCAGAACTGAAAAATATAGCAAGTGTGGAAGTGCATCAGATTCAAGCTATATAAGCTCTTGCGTGTGACGAATCTTGATTGAGGTCTCGTATTATCTAAGCGAAACTCAAAACCTTTTCTGAATGACTATTCTTTGCCGTATTCCTTATCTGTTGAAGTGCAAAATTTGGTTTGTCCAGCCAACGAAATACAATTAACGATTCCTAACAAATCAGAAACTATTACCATTTTTTATGGTTAAGCTTATCAGAGCCCACTGCTGAGCAAAGGCCTCTTTCTCACAGGGAGAAGGTTTGAGCATTAATCACCACGCTTGCTCAAGACGGGTTTATTTCGGATTTCAAACTTATAATTGTGAAATTATAAGTCCAGGTTTCCTCACCATGTTTTCCTTCACCGTATTGTCAGTGATGTCTAAATACTCTTAGAAAGTACATATGACTAGGAAAAATCACATTGGTACTTTAGGCTTGGTATAACACCTTTTAAACATGTGATGATTGTGCGGTTTAAGTGGTTTAAAAATATAGTTCCATACTTTAAATAAAATAATCTAAAACCTTTTAAAAAGTATTTTTCCTTTCCACGATTCAGTTTACTGTAGGGAAAGTTTGCCTATGCATAGACTTAAATGTCCATATATTCGTCTGCTGAAACATTTTCTTAGAGACTCAATCATAGAGGTATCTATTTGAAATTTATTTCAAATATTAGTATTGGTCAATATATGTAATCGAGCCCAATAAAGAACATGTGAAAATTTCAAATTTGTAGATTGATCAAAATTAAAAGATTTATATTGATTAATTGTATTATATTTAAAAGAAATAAGGTAATTAAAAAGTCACGTATGGATTTTTAAAAACAGAATTTTTTGATCGGGAGTTAATCATGCTACCGTTTTTATTTCCCTTATGATTAAAATGAAAAGAACTAAAGGATTTAAGTTTTAACTATTATTGAATAGAAACTAAGCAGTGTTATAAGTTGTGACAATTATTTGTTAAGTCCCGATAGTTTCTTTGTTTTGCACTTTATTTGCATCAATATTCGAAACAATGACGCATTTAAAACATTAAAAAACCATATCCATTTCACGACAAGCCTTTAAAAAAATCTGGTTTAATATAATTGACATATTGTTTCCTCATCCAGGTAGGTAAACCTAAGTTTTAACGGTCTTATGAAGTATATATTTTATTTGATGAGAAGAGAGCATTTAATGAATGTTACTATACATATATATATATATATATATATATATATATATACTACACGCTACAGTGAAGTTTTTTATGAAAACTTTAGTACTAAATCGATTGCAACAAGTGAATTCTGTTCGTAAAGTTCAAGTAGAATACAATGCATTTAAATAAAATTAAACTTTAGTATTATACCAAACATATTTTCATATTTATTCTTGCTACTAACAAGAAAAAGTTAAATAGCAGATTTTTTCCCCTAAAAACATTTGCCTTATTGATAATCAAGTTATGAGAGCGAGCCGTGACAGATGTCGTTCGTGACGTGACGGGAGCGACTCGACAAACCTTTTTAAATGAACATTATGTCAAATATATTCGAAATGTACACGTGATTATTGTGATATAATTATCTCATGTTTGTTTTCTTTTTGTTATGACAGGCGTGGGAGGTGTTGAATTTTATAATAAGAACGAAATATAGGATTTTAGAAGAGAAGTTGTATGTAATATATTTGAAAGTTTTAGTTTATTAAAGAAAGCGCTTTCGATGGAACGGACTTGTTACCGCCAGAGGAAGCATTACAACAATATTTCAACATAACATATTCAGTAAATAGAGGGCAAAGAGAAAAGTTTATGAAACAAATTTATGAAATGGATCAAATGGCTCGGAGGCCCGAATAAAGAACCATTTAGAAAGATGTCCATATCACGAAAGATAGAGAGGATTCGACGAATTCTTAAATTCACAAGGAAATACGATAACGAAAGACTACTCAAATGAATTAAATATACTAGCACTTTTCAATATCATGAGAATTTTGGAGTGCTGTACTACAAGTAAAATAAAAAATTATCAAATAATTAAAGAAAAAATATATAATAAATAAAATTATTTATAAATTTACCGCATTTATTTATACAGCATATTGTATAAAGTTTAAAAAGTGCTTTTCTTAAATCAATTGTTATGAAAAGTCAAGTCCCTCTAACATATCTGGCCACTATAACACGCAACGATCCAAATCGCACTAAAGCAAGCTCCATTTCGATTACAAAACAATATAAATTCAGTTTACTTAAATATAATTAGTAATTTGTGAAATGAGATTACATTTTAATTTTATATTTCTTCAAAGAAGACCTAATTAAACCGTCGTATAAATTTTAACGTTCAGGTATTATTTACAGTTAAGTTTTTTGGTATAAAGTCTCCTATGATTTAAGCCATACGTCGAACATCGCATCGCGGTATCCCGGGCGAACTTGTATCACTTTGCCGCGGATCTAAGGAACCCTTACTCAGGGCACAACAACCTATTTCTCTTCACTTGATCAGGGATTCCGTCTAAATCCACATTTTATACGGCTACAAGCGATCACACCGCCGTTACATATTTTACGACTCCTGCGCAAGAATGCACCTAATTCTTCACAATACGCTTTAAGCATCAGCCAAGTGGCTGGGAGATGTTGTGTGTTTTACAAATAATATTCTTTTAAACCTTCAATACGCCTTGGTCGTGCTAAATGATACGGATTCTTATTAACTATTGTTTAGAATTTAGAAGCTATTTAGATTAAGGTATTGAAAAGTAATTTATTTTGTCTGAAGTCATTTCTTATCGTTAATAAGTAACATACAACTATCAATTTATGTGAAATTAATGAAGTATAGAAAAGCCGAACAAGGGAAGTTTAACATAAGAAAGTTTTAAGTTAGAAAATTTTTCACCAAGGCAACAGCTGCTTTCAAACACTTGGTTTTTACAATCGAAAGTTTTCACAATGTGTATTGTGTTTTTTTTATAATAGGAGAGTCAATTTTTTTGTTTGAAGATTAGGCCCTCAATAGCTTTACGTAATAGAATGTTATGTTTATGATATTTCTTACTTGGTTCAAATGAAAAATATCACTAAAACTGGAGAATAAAATACAAAACATTGATAACTAACTATTGCACATTTATGTAGTGTATCCGAGGTGTTAGTTTTAGTTCTATACCTTTAATTTACTAGTTTTTACTGAAAATCTTCACATACTGAACAACTACCTAAAATACAGTTGTTGCTGGCATTGTTGAGCATAATATCTATTGTTTTAACAATTTTATATATATATATTTCTTTAAAGTTACTATTAGTAATAAATTTATGGCACATAAA